AGAGTAAGTACAAGGCACATACAAAGAGCTATGAGGCAATTCAGTCTGGTGGGGCCATAGGTGGAGGGGGGAGAAAGATGAGATTGGAGAGGATGACAGAGTCTGTATCACAGAGGCCACTGCAAAATAATTAAAACAAAACACCCCCCCCCCAATATAACTTTTACCACTGAGGATGGCCTAACAGTAGAAGGGGTTGTCAGCTGGCTCTAGTCTGTGCCAGTCAGACCCCACCCACTTGGGTCACTCACCTTAGGAGGCATACAGACAAATGAAACACGATCAGAGAGGTAAGAGCAGCAGCATGGTGGGGGGACTTGAAACTGTCATCCGGGGAACAGCTGAAGGGAAGAAGGCAGACGATTCCACCTGAGAGAAGATGCAGGCTGGTGCAGGGGCACACTCACTGTCTGCAAGTGCATGGAAGGCTTTTGTGAAGGAGAGGGAACAGAAGGGTGCCATGTGGCTCTCGGGGTGGGGGGCCATAGTAATTAATGGAAAAGCAACAACGAACACCATGGCTGCCTTGTAGCGAGCACTCAGTATGTGCTAACCTCTTTATCAGAACACCTTGTGAATCACTATCAATATGGGAGGAAACAGATTTAGAGACGCAAAGCTAGGGCAGGGGTGGAAGCTATAGGTAGACAGAGCTCAACTCAGGATATGTAAACTCACTCAGCAAGGCGGTTAATTAAGAACAGGGGCTGGACTTAGCATGGGATTCTAACTCTGATTCCACTAACCATCAGTCACTTGAGCAAGTCACTTTCATATCTCATAGACTCAGTTTTCTCATCTGAAAAATGGGGAGAAATTAGCACTGACTTATTATGAGGATTAAATGAGACAATGTATGGAAGTCACTTTATACTGTGCCTGGCACATTCTAAATGTCCAGTATATGCTAGCTGTTGTCGTCATCATTACACTTCATCATTGCAAAGAATGAGGCATTTTCAATAAAAGTTCAAAAGAGAACTTAGGGGCCTTCTAGAAATAGTGAATTCTCCAACACTAGGGGGTCAGACTAGGCCTACTGGAGGTTTTCTAGCGTAGTGAGTTTCAACCTTTTTTATCTCATGGCACACATAAACTAATCACTAAAATTCTGTGGCATAACGAAAACATTTTTTTTTTTTTGCCTCACAAAAAAATAGGTATAATTTTGATTCATTCATACCACATGACTATTGTTGTATTGGCTGTTGTCATTTTTTAATTTGACAATCTAAGGGAAAAGAGGTCAGCGTCCCTGTCTAAAGAGTCAGATATTGCATATTTTATTTTTTGGAGATTTTGCATATTTTTAAAGTTCTTGTGGCGCACCGGCTGAAAAATCACTGTTCGAGGGCATAAGACAAGGGTTTGACTAGATCAACAGTTTTGTCCCCTCCCTCCTTTTACGTTTTGCCAAGGAAATGTTTCTTATCACAAAAATCTCATGAGGAACCCCCACATGTGAAACAGATTCTAGGGGAGCTGCTCTGATTGCAGCCAGAGTGGGGGCCCATGGTATGAGAGCCCAAAGTCTGGAGGCTCACTGGGCTCCCCTCCAGCAACTGGGGAGGGGCGGGGGGAGGGGGGGAGAGTGAAGGGGAGCCAGGAAAGGCGACCTGTGTGCAGGGTGTGGGGTGGGCATGGGCAGGGTGTGCAGATGACAAGTGGGGTGTGTCTCTGCACCCACATTCTGAGCTCCTGCTCTCCTGCAAGGTGGAGAGGATCCTGCGCAGGCACTGTCTGCCCCAGGCTGGCGGCATGTCTGCAGTGTCATCACATGACACGTGCTCTGGACTGGGACTTCGGAGAGATGGCTCGGACCAGCTTCTGGCCCCCCCAATGAGTACACCATGTACCGGTCAGCCGGGTGACCTGCAGGGTCCTGGGGAGGGATGAGGGGTGGGAGAACAGGGGGGACCTAGGAGGTAGGGGAACTCAAGAGAATCATGACTGGGGTTTCCAAGCCCTTTATTTATTAAGTCTTGACAGTTTTATAGATGAGGAGGCTGAGGTCCAGAGAGGACCAGTGGAGTGCCCAACTTCACACCACAGAGGTAACAGGTCAGGAAGGAATCGCTTCTGGAGAGCCCTTAGCCCCAAACTCCCTAACTCCAAGAGGCTCCCTTGTGTCCCATCCCTCCCTCACGTCCATGTGCCAACAATGGAACCATAACCAGGCTCTGGGCTCTTGGCCCTTGGCCCAGGTCCCTGTCAATCGGCAGCAGTGGCCCAGATGGGAGTCCCTGGGGACATTCTGCTGCACACATCCCCTCCATGGCGCTGCCTGCAGGATCCTTCAAGCTTACAATGCAAAGTGAACACCTCTGCTCCCAGAGATACTGTGAGGCTTGGAGGAGTTCCATTCACACTGCACCTGCTATGGGCCAAGTATGGGGACAATTACACTTTTTGTCACTTATTGAGCACTTACTACCTGCTGGGTATCTTGCCAAACACTTTACCAGCATGTTCTTGTTCAATCCTCTCTACAACCTGTGAAACGGACAAGGAAGCCGAATCTCAGAAAGTCTAGTACTTGCCCAAGACCACTTAGCCAGTGAGAGGCAGAGGTATGACCCAACCAGGTCTGTCCATAGTGGGAAAGGTCTGGGGGAAGATACTCAGGAATGTCTGTCCATCCAGCCCAGCCCCACGGCCTCTGGTATAATCTCAAGCATCCCAAAGCCAGTTCTATAGAGGCTGGCGGATTTCCGTCTGAGACATTAAATAAAGAGGATTCAGTGCTTTCCTAGAATACTAGAAAGTTGGAGGCTGGGGTGCAGGGTAAGATGGGTTGTGAAGCCAACAGTATGCTCTCTGCACCCTTGTGTCCCAACATTGTCTAGGATTGCCAGTGTCTCCAAGATCTTTCCAGTCCTCATGCTGTACCGCCTGTGGGAGGAGGGTATCGTAGCCTCTCTAGATGACCCTCTGGAGCGGTATGCCAGCTCCTTCACTATTAACAACCCACTGGGCATGGCACCAGCCCCCAAACAACAGAGCCTGATGGATGGGCTGGAGGAGGTGGGCCCAGCCCCAAGGCCTTCGCCCGTCACCCTCCGAAGGATGGCCAGCCAGCTCTCAGGTGAATGGTTTTGAACTTACCTGGCTTAGCCCCAAATAATTCAGGTGGGGGGAACTGAGGAGCGGATTCTCATCCAGTCAGGCCGAGCCCACTCTCTGCTGTTTCCTGAAATGGCCAAAGTCTCCCCATTCTCACTCCTCTCCAGCCACACGGGCTGTGCCATGCTATTCCGCAAACATTCCAAGACATTCCTGCCACAGGGCCTTTGCACTTGCTGTTCCCTCTGCCCGAGACATTCTTACGGAAAAGAATGGCTCTCTCTCTCACCTTCTCCAGGATTACCTCTGCAAGGCCTTCGTCCGACCAAATCATTTTTCTCTGTAGCATTAATATGTATTTGCTTGTTGTCTGGCCCCTCCACTAACTCCACATAGGCAGCGACTTTGTTCATTACTGAATCCCCAGTACCCAGAACAGTTGTTGGCACAAAAGAGAAGCTGCAAATCCATTATTGAATGGATGGATGGAGAGGACCCAAACCCTGTGAAACTATTCGTCCAATAGTTGTCACAGCTAATAAACAGAAAAGTCCAAATGGTTAGAAAAGCCCAAAGCTGTTTGGTCACTGATCTCAAGAATTTTATGGAATCACACTGCTATAGTTGATGATAATTACTTTTTGAGCAGTTACTATGACCAGGCACCATGCTAAGCATTTTATTTTACCTAATCCTCACATCATCCCTATGATAGAGGAATTATTTCCCTCACATTACAGGTGAGGGGACTGGGGCTTGAGAGGTTACGTGGCTCTCTCCCCCTAAGAACACAAGCAGGATTAGAGTCCATGCTGGACTATTTTTGTTTTTCAGGCGATATTGTTGGAAGGTGGGGAGGGGGGCAGTGCACCCAATGACCCCCCCTCCACCCTCAGCTAGCCCAGCAGGTCTGACCACTGCTCCTCCCCAGGGCTGCCTCGAAGGCTGCGGTCCACTTCGCTGCTGTGGAGGGGCAGCACCCAGGAGGCCCTGAGCCTGCTCAAGGATGATGTGCTGGTGGCGGACCCGGGAACCAGGTGAGGATGTGCCTTGATGCTCTGCCAAAGTTAGGAACCTCCTCAGGACCCCCCCCCCTCCTCCTCCCGGAGAGAGACTGCATCCTCTCGTCCTGGGTGATCAGAGCCTGAAGAGACCTCGGGGTCTCTAAATACAACCCCTATTCCGCAGCAGGAAAGACTGAGGCCCAGAGAGGGGTGTCACAGCAAGGCAGGTGCTGTTTGAACCTTGAGTTCTTTCCACTCATCAACTCAACATTTATTGAGCACCTACTCTGTGCCCGGAATGTGCTAAACTGAGATACAGAAGCAAACAAATTTACTAGTAACCAGGTCCCTCCTCATGGAGTTTGCATTCTTGTGAGTCAGCCGTGAGCATTCTTATCAGTGAACAGATAAACAAGATAAACAGAGATTTTGGGATGCTGATGGGAGTGGATAGCTGGGGTGGCCACTGAAGAGAGAAGCCCAGCTCTGGGAGCGAGGGGCTGGACAGAGGACAGCTGGCACTCCCCGGCCTCAGAGGCACCCTTCTGGGCCTGTTGGCCTTTTTTTGGAAAAAGATGCCCTGTCTGCTTCTCCGAATGCTGAACCTCAGGCCCCACCTCCCTGAGGAAGGAAGGACCCAGGTGATGCTCAGGCATCTGCACGCTGGAGTCCTCCTTTCAGCTGTGCCACTAACTTGCCATGAGGCCTTGGAGGAGGCACTCAGCCTCTTGGAACCCACCTTCCGCATCTGTAGAAAAGGGAAGTCGGGCCCCAGCCCGTGTAGCTCAGTTGGAGTGTTGTCCTGTACACCAAGAGGTGGCCGGTTCGATCCCCGGTCAGGGCACACACCCAGGTTGTTCAGTCCCGGTCAGGATGCATCTGGAAGGCAACCGATCGATGTTTCTCACTCACATTGATGTTTCTCTTTTTCTCACTCTCCCCCTTCTTCTCTCTCAAATCAATAAAAAAACATAACAGATTAAGGGAGGTTGGGCTAGGGTTCAGGAATGTCTAAAGGGATTTGTGTATTTTCATCTGTCTGTGCCTTTTTGAAATTGCACCTTTTCTGGGAGAGAGACCTCTCACTGACTACTGGTGTCTGCCATAGCTGGGGAGAAGGGAGGGGAAATCCTGCCCCCCATTTATCATCCTTGAACCACATGATCGCTATAATTCCACCCCCCCCCCCCAACAGTCTAAGACTCTAGTTTTCTGTTTGCTAAAGTAAATCATACTAAAGGGTAAAGGACCAATAAGATTTGCTTTACCACTTGCCCAGCCCAGCTCTCCTCCTTCCTGCTGTGTGACCCTGGACAAGTCCCTGCCCCTCTCTGGGCCTTCCCTTTCCCAGATGTAGAATTAATGATCGCTGAAGTCTCTGATGGGTCTGACCATCTGGGATGCAGTGAAGCAGGTGCCTTTCCGGACCGATCCAGTCCTAGAAACTCTGGTGGCACTTCAGACAGTCTGAGCAGGTCAGAAGGGGCTACTTCGGGCCTGGAAATGTTCATCACGGACCGCACCCCAGTTTCCACACCTCCCGTTCCAGGTGCCATTACAGCACCCTGGCCTTCTCGCTTCTGGCGCACGTCCTGGCAGCCCACACGGCCCAGGGTGACTACCAGCGCTGGGTCTCCGAGAACGTGCTGGAGCCGCTGGGGATGGCAGACACCGGCTTCGACCTCACCCCTCCGGTGCGCGCCCGCTTGGCGGCGGGCTTCTACGGCAGCGGCCGGCCGGCCCCGCTCTACGACCTGGGCTGGTACCGCCCGTCCGGCCAGATGTACTCCACCCCCGCCGACCTGGCCAAGCTGGCCATGGCGCTCCTGGGCAGCGGGCCCCGGCGGCTCCTGCGGCCCGACGCGGCCAAGACGCTGCTGGCGCCGCTGCTGGCCTGCCCCGGCGCCTACTTCGCCAACGAGACCGGCACCCCCTGGGAGTTCCACGCGCAGAGGGGCTACCGCGTGGCGCGCAAGGACGGCGACGTGGACGGCTACGCCGCCACCTTCTCCCTGGTGCCGCCGCTGCAGCTGGGCCTCGTGCTGCTGCTGGCCGGGCCGCGGCCGCCCGGGCCCGACCTGGTGGCGCGGGCCTACGACGCGCTCCTGCCGGCGCTGGAGCGGGCCCTGCGGGAGGCCGCGCGCCGCCCCGCCCCGCCCCCGAGCGCGCGCCCGTTCGCCGGCTACTTCACCTGCGCCAACCGCACCTTCTACGAGGTGCGCGCCGGGCCGGCGGGCGAGCTGCGCCTGCGCCAGTTCGGGCCCCGCGCGGAGGCGCTGGTGCCGCCCGCGTTCCGGACGCTGGCGCTGCGCCACCTGCGCGGCCGCGTCTTCCAGCTGCACGTGGCCCGCGCGTTCCCGTGCGCGCTGCCGCTCGGCGACGCCTGGCTCTCCCTGGAGGCCCAGCACGGGCAGCTCGTCCGCTTCTACCCCCTGGACCGCCGCGGGCTGTCCCCGGGCTTCGACGTTCCCGGGCTCAACACGTACCGGGTGCTGCGGCTGCCGCGCAAGCCGGTCTTCCAGACCCGGTGACCGGGGCTCTGGCCGGAGCCTCCCCGCCTCGCCTTCCCGCGAGCCCAGGTAGTTGACGAAGCGGGGTAGGGCCCCCCGCTACTCGGAGTGTGGACCCCGGACCACAGCCGGGCTGCAAACGATTCCTTATCCACGGGGGAGGACGAGCTAAGTACAGAAACTTAGAATAAAGCATTTACATACTTTGAACAGCGCGCTGACAAAGTACTTTTGTGTCTGTTGAATGTAAGACAAAATAGGGGCTTGTGTTTTGTCTTTTAAAAAAAATCAACCTGCGTTATAATTTACATAAAGGGAAATGCACACATTATCAGGGTATAGTTTGGTGATTTTTGGTGGTGAGTGTGTACCCACCACCCCTATCAGGGTAGAGAACATTCCCATCGCCCCCAAACGTCCTTCCTACTGCAGTCGGTCCTCTCCCCTGTCCCCAGCTCCAGGCAACCACTGATCTTTCTGTCCCCGTAGATTAGTTTTGCCTGTTATAGAATTTCATATGAATGGGATCATACAGTGTCGTCCTTTGTGTCTGTTTTCTTTTGCTCAGCATGATGTTTGGAGGTTCGTGCATGTCTTTGTGTACATCAGTAGTTTGTTCCTTTTATTTTTTTAAAATATATTTTATTGATTTTTTTACAGAGAGGAAGGGAGAGGGATAGAGAGTTAAAAACATCGATGAGAGAGAAACATCAATCAGCTGCCTCTTGCACACCCCCTACTTGGGGATGTGCCCGTAACCAAGGTACATGCCCTTGACCGGAGTCGAACCTGGGACCCTTCAGTCTGCAGGCCGACGCTCTATCCACTGAGCCAAACCGGTTAGGGCTATACATATTTTTAAACATATTTAAGGTTCTGTACTATCCTGAAGTAAAGAAACCTAATCAACTTGCCCAAGTCCAAAATTTGCCTAATGTATTTTGCCGTGAACTGTCCTTGAATAACCCCTTCTTTTTTTTTTTCTTTAGCAGAACTTGAACTGACATTTATTGGACAAACAGTTACTGAGATCCTATCGTAGGTCAGGCAGTGTCCTGATTATGGAGAACACAGCTGAGTGTATGGCAGACACGGGCCCTGATCTTTCCCAGCAAAATCCGGAGAGTTCAAGTCTGTGCGCACCAAGCCCTTGTCATGCTTCATGTCATTTAATCCTCACCTGTGTTCTAGGACTTAGATGTCATTGCCCCATTTCACAGACATGAAAATGAGGCTTGCAGCAATTACGTGACATCTCCACAGAAACTGAGCTAACAGAGCTAAATGACAGGGTTGGTATTCAAACCCTAGGACCCCTGACAGCCGAGCTCAAACTCTTAAACATGAATACGTGTTCTTAGAACACTTGGGAGTTACTGCTCCAATTTAGTG